ATAAAAATAATCGTTTTTTTTTATTCATCGATTATTTCCTCATTTGTTAATTTTAAAGTTGAACCTAATTTAACCATTACAAAATAAATTTAACAATTTTTTTTTAAATACTTAGACGCATTTCCGGTAGCAAAAATCACTTGGAGGTGTTCCAATCAAGGCGCCCCGAGACTCCTGCATAATCAGTATCATCAGATTCGGGCGACCGATTTTAAGGTCCAACCCATAAAGGTACTTATCTCATGCCACCAAGCAAATAAGTATTATATTTTCTTATAATTATATTTTCTATTGATAATGGTTTTTTTAATGATATTTTGCTTCAATTGTTTGCCCTAAAAACAGCGCCTGGACTAGTAAAACTAGTATAGTGTAGTGAACATACATTACAGTGCTTAAACTTACTTTAAAATATGTTCTTTTTAGGCTTAATACTAATAAGAGCAAGGTACACAGCCCTTATTTCCAGTTTGCTTGTATCTTTAGTGGTTTTTATTCTTTGTATTAAATCATTTGCTTTTTGGTCGAAGAGGCCCTGCATTGACTTCAGCTTTGAAGACGTAAATACTGATGTCAAACCACGACGCATTGATGACCACATGGGATCCTTAAAAAATATAGAACTTGATTATTTTCTCGAAAAAGGTAGTCAAAAAGCACCTGCTAGACTTCGCCCTAGCGGAACTCTCGCTTAATCTCTAGAAAAATTCGCATAAGGCCTGTATCCGACCGTGCATGACAGACGCTAGCGAATTTTTCGTGCATTATGCCCCCTCCTATACCCACCGGCTACAGGGTATTTAGTCGACCGTTAAGTTAGACCGATAAGTTGGCGTCACTTCGACAAGGTATCATCCCAACCCGTTGGTGTGTATCAATTATTACACCTTTCCATCGAAAAAGACCTGAAGAAGGCCTCGACGGATTAACGGATCTGGATGATCCAATCACCATAGCTAATGACAAAATAAAAGCCATCCAAACCCCGCGACGGCCCTCGCAGGAAACACCCTTGCGCTAGTCACTGGAAAACGCACATTACAGCCGAGCTGCACTCATCAAACCAATCCTATTCAAGAAAATATTTTTTTTCGAAAATTTCAATTTCGACAGGTTTCCTATGTTAAATAAATTGAATACATTGGTTTCAGACGTTTGACAGAAATCCCACCTGATGTTAAGTAAGAGATTTTGAGGGAAAATGTAGCATTCCAATGGTGAAAAAAATTTAAACCAATCAAGTAATTTAATATTTACTAGGAACTGTGTTTTTGAATAGTATTAGTTTAATTTAGTCGAAAAATTTAAACGTACGTTTGCAGTAAACAAACTATTTTTAAAAGGATCGAATGAACCCGGTTTCACTAATCTGTTCCTGAAATTGTCGAAGTCCTTGATGAGTATATTTCTTGCTATTTCTGGTGAATTGATTATGAGAGCTGGTCTCCAGAATAACCATATTCCTACGTATGGTTTCTTGAATTGTTTATATGTATCAATCATCCATAGGGCCTGAAAATAATATATTAGTATCTTGAAAAACTTCTAAAATTGTTTATTATGCGCATTAATACTTTTAAATTTATATACATTAAAATATACTTTATAATATAAAATATATTAAACTATAATATTTTCAATTATTTATCTACGTCACAGCTATTCCGTGTTTTGTAGTACTTATATACATTTTAAGTAGAATCTATTCGTATCGCTAGTTATAAATGGTGTAATAACAAAAATAAAAAGGCTATTGTCAATATCATGTTCTTGGTTCAATAAAGAAAAGATATTTAGACTAAGTACCGTTAAAAATACGGGATTTACAATATGTATGACATAAAGCAAGAAAGACAAAAATTACTCACCGGATTCTTTTGCTGCAAGAATGTAAGACTGCCCACCAGTGGATGAGGTGGAGAGTGAGGCACACCACGCCTTGCCCAATACTCTCTAACGTTTCTCCAACGAAGGTATATCCATGATATTAAGGATACCATAACACCACACACGATAATTCCAAACATAATGTACAAATGCTATGTGATTTATGTTATATCTGAAATTTTGATAACTCTCTGATTAAATAAAAAAGTAGCAAAATACTACTAATGAGCCTAAATAAATGTCAAATAAATCCAATCGAAATTTATTCATATACGTAGCAACACAATGTACAACTATGAACGTCAGTAGAAAAAATTAAATGCTCGTAAATTTTCATTTACCGGCAGTTCATTGGAATTCAAGGCCGCAAACCGAACGAGGTAATGACATTTCCGCACTGTTTAAATCGTCAAGTTTTTTTGTAACAAAATCTTTTTAAGGAGCCGCAACCATCAAGCTCTTCATTACATCTTACAGAAACTTAAAATTATAATAATTAAATAAGAAAAAAAAACGATTAATCTTTATAGTTTATGTAGTTACGGACAAAGGGATATTTGTTACCAAGAATTCGATATAATTAGATTCAATTAATAATTTAATTTAAATAAACAAAATTTTATGTAGTCCTTAATAACTTACACCAAGATGTTGACTCTAGAATAACAAATTTAATAGATGTACCAGCATTGTTTTTATATTTTATTTATTTATTTATTTGCTCAACGGTTTAGTCGAAAGAAATCAATAATTTAAAAAATCGAATCGGAAAATAGTTTTACAAATTTTATTCGTAATTTATAGTATCAGTACTTAAAAGATAACAAAAGTTTTATCTTGTTAAGTCGATTAAGAGTTATCAAAGTCGGGTGGACTCTACAGTGGAATTATTTTTATATATTTATTTTTTTAGTTATTAAGCTTACGACAACACACACAGTACTAAAATTACTAATTATTTTACAAAATCTCACATCTTAAATGTGTGACATTTAATGTAAGCATAAGTTTCACAAAAAAAATTAAATAGAAATTAAAAATTAAAAAATACAATTAAAACATATACGATAGTAAAAGCACACAATAAAATAAAATAAAATAACAGAAATTTTTTGGCACTTAGAGCAGAAAAAAAAAAAAATCATCATCAAAACAGCGAAATTAGGTTCGAGAAAGGCACCCCACAATGCTTTCTCTAAAACCGATCAGCCCACTACCGAATATATCCAGCTCTGGATAAACTGTGTTCAATTTGTTAAAATCGCGAAGAATTCGAACGAGAGCTGCCTAAACTCCTAGGTTGGCAGAAGGAATTTGGAAGATATTGTTGATTTTAAACCTAGGGAGTGAGTAAGGGACGACAAATTTGATTTCCTGTAAGAGGTCACTGCTCTGTATATGGTTATTGAGCAATTTATGCAAGAAGGCTAGAGTTCTTCGATTGTACAGAGATAACATATTAAATTTTTTGAGTCGCTGATGGTACGGGTGCCCATGTGAAAATCCTTTGCTTATGAAAGCTAGGTGCCGCGTAAAAGATCTTTGAATGCTTTCAACGCGTTGCGAATGGATCACATATAGTGGATTCCATATAATACTGCCAAATTCAACATGACTGCGCACCAGAGCGTTATACAAAATTGTTTTAGTCGTACAACTAAAACAATCCGCATTCCGTTTAAGAAATCCAAGCATTCGTGTGGATGTGGTGACTACTTTATTGACTTGTGATGTAAACGTAAATTTTTTGTCAATAATAACACCCAAGTCACGAATCTCCTGAACCTCCTTCAATGGCGCGCTGTCAAGCTTATACACAGTAACCAGTGGTTTTTTTTTCTTGTGTATTTAATATGAAAGCACTTGTTTATATTGAGGATCATAACATTTAAAAAGCACCAATGTTGTATACCATTAAGGTCATTATAAATTTATAAATTTTTAAATCATCAGCGAAGGGAGACGCTTTACAGTGCTTTATATGATTCCTAACGTCGTTTACAAATAGTAAGAATAGCAACGGTCCCAAATGGGATCCTTGCGGAACACCAGATCGCGCAATATAGGGGGTAGACTCAGCGCCTCCAACAACTACTGACTGAGGCCTGTTACGAAGATAGGACTTAAACCAGTTCAGCAAATTCTCTCCCATTCCATAACCACGAAACTTCTGAATCAGTAACGCGTGACTGACTTAAACATTTGGATTAGTTTTATAACTTCTGCGTTTCCGACGTTAGATTTTTGCATATTTTTATTGACTTTTTACTTGAAACTTGGAAAGACGGCTTTCAAAATAATTTATATTACCTGTGTGAAAATTGAAGACAAATTAAACACTTTTGCCCATTTGTAGGTATATAGGATTCATGAGAAAATGAAAAGGTTGTAAGACAAGCAAGTGCTTACTTGCCTGTTACAAAAATATTACAGAAACAAATCTGCATATATTCCGGTTTATATTTTTGCTTGATGTGAACATCAACTAGTCAGTGGCATAAGCAATGTCTGACTAAAATTTTGGCATTGCATGAATTTTGCTGTACGTCTGGTCTTTGTATGAAACAGGTTTCACGAAAGGCCGGCTTAAAAGGACGGCAAGGGCCTTGCTTATATAAAGGTAACAATTATCTAGTTGACTAGTGCTAGACAGGCTACTTCTAAAATATTTGCAATATTTATTATAACTATAATATAATATTATAACTGCAATTACTTTACCAGACATTATTTCACAATATTATAACTAAGCAAACAATATTTATATATATATATTATATCTATTAAACACTTACAATAAATATAATTTGTACTCTAGTTACAAATAATAATATTGTAATATTGCCTTTGTTAAACGACCAGCAAAATGCAGGCAGCTTGCAGAGTTGTCAGATTTGAGTTTAAAATCTGACTTTACGCAGCTATCAGCTGTCAAGGTCTAATGTGCTTGGGAAAGTAATATGATCCGTTAATACGGACTCTGGTAGTCTGATGTCGAGCTCCTGAGTTACGTACGGTTCGAAGGTACGATCCTCGGGGTTTAGGACCCACGTGGACTTTATTTTTATTACAATAATAAATAAGCCGTACAAATGTGTTTGTATATAATATATTTATAAACTGAAAGATACATTTCTTGGTTCAAAATCAATAAAGAGGCTCTCTCCAGGTACCAAAAAGAGATGTTTATTTTCGTATTTCACTTCTGAAGGCTTCGGTGCTCCCGGCAGTGGTTTAAACTTGAAATTTAGTACTAAGTATGACATAGCGTTTCTCACTGATATTTGAGCGAACCTCTGCTGAAATATACATTTGATTAGATAATCTGTTTTATCGTGTGTTTTACTGAATTTGCACTGATGCGCTTTGCTCGTACTTAATAAAAAACAAATATAGTGTTTTAATATAAATTAATATTACATCATTTAGTAGAACCTATTCTATCAACGACTCACCTATACAGCTCCTCGGCCCCTCTCCAAATGGCATATAAGTGAATGGCTTCAGGTCTTTCTCATTTTCTGGCAAAAACCTTTCGGGGTTAAAGGTCTCAGGATAAATGTCGCTGTCGTACAGCATTCCAATCCCGTTGACATAAATCGGTGTTCCCGCGGGTATAGTCAGGTTCTCGTCTACCTTATAGTCATTTATTGTCTCTCTGTCAAGCCATCCCAGGGGAGGATACATGCGTTACGCTTCTGGAATTTGAGTAAGCAGATGTCGTATTTTTTTAGTGTGGGCGTGAATATCCTACTTAAAAAACTGGCATTTTAGACCCAGAAATTGACACAATGCAAACGTAGAGGAAGTGTATTTAGAATCTTTAATTACTTTAATTATTACAGTTTTTTAAATCAAATCAAAATCATTTATTCATATAGGTAACACAATGTACACTTACGAACGTCAAAAACTTAAATGCTTCTAATTTTACATTTACTGCTAGTTCTCAAATCAAGGGCGTAGAACGGAATAGAAGAACTGGCAATAAACTTTCCGGCACTCGTTTTAATCGCCAAGTTTTTTGTTTTACTCAATGATTGTAAGGAAATGCAACCACTACACCATGTTCTACATGACAATGTGACATCTTAAGTAATTCATAGTTAATAAAGCTAGCAAGAGGCATGGTGAAATGGGAGGACGCACTTACATTCTCGTGGGAACAACACGCATTATTTAATACCTTTAAAAACACAGTTTAAATACTTCAAATCAGCTTGTATAGTAAGGTCCAAGGAACCGTTTTGACTTTTCTTGGCCTCTATTAACTCTTTATACATTTTCTCCTGAAAATAAATATTACCAATATTTGATTATGATGATAACAGTCAGTTATAAAGTTTTTATATTTATATAAATTTTCTAGTTTAAATTGAAAGCTGTAAACTAGCTGTGCCCTCTGATCGTTTGTTTTTACCGTGGCCTACTGCGATTATGACAAAGGATACCTCACAACCTTCTAATACATTTACTCACTTAATTTTTATAATATACGATTTGTAATCAATAAAACTTTTTTACAAACCATTTATTGAGAATATCGAACTGGAATAAATTATTCAGTATTTATTTGCAGCTTATGTATGGCCAAATTTAACTAAATAGTTTCAAAACCTGCAAATAGAAATGTCACAGCCTGGGCCCAAATATCGTTATCAGTATACCCTGAAAAAAAAAATACAAATTATGTGTGTCGTTCCCGAACTGAATAATCTGATACCTACGTTTCACTTGAGGAAAACATAATTTAAAAAATGATCTTACTAGTGCATTGTAATATCTCTTACCTATATGACTAGCCTCAATATAATAATCTGTCTGTCGGGTCAGCGTAGAGATCATTTTTATAATGGAAAGAATTAGGGAGAATGTTTAAGTCCCGTAAAACATACATACCTTGTTTTTATATTCTATATCATCGTCCTTAAGCTTAAGTATAGCGTCGAGTACATCTTTTACGTCCTTTATTCCATTGTCTCTTCTTTGCTTTGATACAGTTTCAAATACTTTCTTAAAGAACTGTGTCGATGATTCAGAAAATACTGGAAATCTAAAAAATATTTACCTGTTTATTAAATTAAAAAGGGTTTATTGATTTATTGAAGTGAAACTTCTTTATCGAGGTTGGAAAAAAATTTAGTGTAACATTTTTTCGTTACGGGTCACATTTTTCGGTTACGCGCCATGTTGCTTTTTGAAGTCAAACTTCTTTATCGGCGTTGGAATGAAACTTCTTTATCGACGTACGGGAGAAATTTTGTAGCAAATCGTCACGTTTTTCAATGATAGTAATAATTCTATTACAATTAATGAAATTCTATAATAATCTTCGTAGTAATAAGGTAAAATGAAATATTTGTATTCATGTCTATGATAATAAAAGCCTTTTGTTAAACTTTATCTAATTTAACGAATTTCTGTAAAGTTGCATATATGTAGTAGATCTTTTTTCGAAAAATAAGATCATAAAGAAGTTTCACTTCTTACGTGTGTACACCTAGTACACGCACAATTTATTTATTTATTTAAAGAAATACATACATTATCCTCACTTACGGGCTTAAATCAGTTAATTCAAATTTTGGAAATCGTTTAATATCGTTGAGCGTTATTATTTTTATGTGAATACCTATGAAACACTTTCTATAATATTAAACACATAATATTCATAATATCGCAACTGTAAATTCACTCTGCGAACTTATAAATATGTCGATAGTGTCGGAGACAGCAATCTGTGCAAGAGACTGGTTCAAGAGACAAAGAAACCGGGTTTTTGGACCATTGTTTTTTTTACTATTTGGTTCTTTATATAAATTGTATTTTTATAAACATTTATTATATAGAGCGAATACTTTCAGTCGGTTTTGTAAATCCCACCATTTGATATCATATAAAATGAATATTCACAATAAGGTACTAACAAAAGCATTTCCAACTATTTTTTACTTCATGTTGTTAGTGTTTAAGGTAGATGCAGTTGTTCAGTTATTGCAATAATTATTTATTTGCCATTACTCAGAGAAACATTTGCAACCTTTTCTTACTTGATATTGTTACTCTGTGAAATGAATGTAGTTGTAGCGATAGTTACTTTCAATTATTTTTAAAATGGAATGCAATCATTTAGTTTTGTAACTTCTAGCGTTTACTATAATATTATATAAAAGTAATTATTATAAGGTACTAAGTCAAGCATTTCCAAATTTATCTTACTTTATATTAGTGTTGTTCATGTTTTAGGTAAATGCAGGTATTGCAATAAGTACTTACAACTATTATATAAAAAGAATGCATTGCTTATGATATACCTACTTAATTATAATTTATTGTATACATGCCAATTCAGGGTGTGGACTGTGGACGTTCCGAGTGATGCGTAGCTAGATGCGAGCCTAGTTGTGGAACGTGCCATCGCTGCTGGGAGCGGGCCCACTATGTATCTTTGTTTTACCCCATCATGCGGTGCTCTGATAGGATTGACTATATTTCCCCAGCTACGACGAGGCTCGCCACCCGTCACGTCACGTTTCACGAAGGGAAAGGATGGGGGAAAGGATAAGAAAACAGGCGAGGAATTAGTGAGTGGAAGGGAAGAGAGTTTACATAGCACGGCTTATTCTGATAGTAGATAAGTTCCTGTATTTAGGAAGTGTGTTTACTCCGGATGGAAAGTTTGAAGATAATATAGAAAGACGAGTTAGTAAATGAGCGTTGCGTTGATTTATGTGCAGCGACCGTAGATGGTTAGTTATATTTATAGTGAGAGTAAACATTTTTTACCTGAAACATTCCGTCAATTTCGGAAAGAAAAATATAGTACTCCAACATAATCCTTTGTACCAGTCGAAGGTCATTAGGGTATTTGTCACAGTTCTGATAGGGTCTTCTCCTGTGAGGGTGGCGGTAGTTTCTACACCAAAAGCAGCGGTTGCAATCAAATCTGTTGTGTAATCTGTTAATAATGACTGAAACAACATGTATGTATTAATATTTCAAGTCAAAAATTTACTTAAATTATGAATGAAACTTAAAGGTTCTATATAAGATGTTGTATAATTAGTATTATTATTATTTTCTTATGTAGCCAAGTTCACAAGGATCGTCATGCTCGCTTAAATGTCATTGCTTGGAGCGGCGTTCATGCCTCTCTCCCTAATATTATATGTGGCGAGGGGGCCGATGGGTGGCTGACCATGCGTCATAATCGTGAACGGGTGCTACTTGTGGTGACTGGTCGGACTTGAATTCTGCGGTGTTTTCGGTGATGTTATTTATTTCAACTATGTATTTGCGTGTTGTACCCTCGAGAATGTAAGTGCGTGCTCCTATTTCACCATGCCTACTGGTGATAGAGGATAAATCTTTGTCTTTATTTTTATTTTATTACTTATTTAATATTAATTACTTAAGATGTCATGTGGAACATGGTGTAATGGTTGCAGCTCCTTACAAACATTGTGTAAAACAAAAACTTGGCAATTAAAAAGAGTGGCAGAGAGTTTATTGCCAGTTCTTCTCTTCCGTTCTACGCCCTTGATTTGAGAACTGACATTAAATTTAAAATTAGAGGCATCTAGCATTTAATATGTATTTCTTTATTGACGTTCATAAGTGTACATTGTATTACCTAAATGAATAAATGATTTTGATTGTTTTGTTTCCAATAGATCTTATTTTAAATATTCCGTCCATTCCGTCTTGCTAATTCACTACATATACTGTACAGATACTCCTGACTCTTATCACATAAATATAAATTTAAATACACATCTCACAGTCCACTTGATGGCAAGCTGTATTTCTATCCTAAAGCAATAATAAAAGTATCGACTATCACAGGGACAAAAACTAAAAGAAGTTAGTTTACTTAGTTAAAGAAGTCGAAAATACTAGTAAGTACGATTCTACAGCACAAGATTAATAATGATGACAATGACATTTAAAAATCATATGAATCAATATGCATATTATTTTTAATGGTCTAATAGAATCATGTTCGATCCAATTTCTATATACTAGACAATTTAAAATAAAAGTTAAATGAAGATACGTTTTTATGGAAAATTTCAAAGTTAAAAACTACAACTTGTAAACATCTATTACAGTTGGGTTGTAATTTTTTGCTCCTAACGTGTGATCTGCCGCAATGTACTCGCTCGCAGATACGACGCATTGCGGTGCTTCCTCACGTGAGTTATTTTAATTAAAAATCTGTGGCTTTAGAATTTTCAACATTTATTAAACATTAATGAACTCATAGTCCAACTTTATGTTTACGAAATTAGTATGAAATATATTGTTAGTGTTATGTTACGTTGAACTTGTTGTTATATAACTTCGATTTCTACTTATTGTTTGCTCTCGTATTTAGGTTCATACTTTAAGACATGTTAGTGTTCTAAAACAAAGTTCTCATTTAAACTTTTATTATTATAGTTTCTAAAATATATAATTTAGTCCAGCAAGTGACTTATGTCGTAACTCGATCGTAGAATTTATGACTATGAAAAGTTAAACCTTAATTTAAAAAAATATTATTTCAGGATCATACACAAAAAGAACGACTACGACCTATTGAATAGTGGATACTAAATATTACTGTATATTAAAAGTGGATATTAAAGTATCCTTTTATCCAAAAAATATCCTTTATACATAAATGTTCTTTTATCTCATGCCACCTTGCAAATAATATTGTAATAAAGTTTATAAATAAACCGTCAGTAAGAAGTCGTTGATATTATTTTGTTGTTTGTTGTTATTAGCTTAAACTAAGTTATTATCTATTGATAATGGATTTTGCTAAAATTGTATGCCCTAAAAACAGCTCCTGGACTAGTAACACTAGTATAGTGTAGTGAACATACATTAAAGTGCTTAAATTTACTTTAAAATAAGTTCTTTTTAGGCATAATATTAATAAGAGCAAGGTACACATCCTTATTTCCAGTTTGCTTGTATCTTTAGTGTTTTTTATCCTTTGTATTAAATCATTTGCTTTTTGGTTGAAGAGGCCCTGCATTGCCTTTAGCTTTGAAGACGTAAATACCGATGTCAAACCACGACACATTGATGACCACATGGGATCCTTAAAAAATATAGGACATTGATTATTTTCTCGTAGAAGGTAGTCAAAAAGCGCCTCCTAGACTTCGCCCTAGAAAAGGGGCACTCTAGACCGCAACCACGTCGCTAGGCGAATGGTTTCAGAAATGGGGCTTCCAAATAAATCCCGAGAATAGCGTCGCAGTTCTCTGTGCCAGTGGCAACCCCGTTGCTCTCCCTTAATCTCGGGAAAAAAATCGCCTTAAAAAAAGAGTTATACCCTTTATGGGTCTGTCAAATATCTAGGAGTCACGCTCGATAGCGGCATGTACTTCCGTAAGCACATAGCCGCCATTCGCAGGAAGGCCTCTTTTGTCCTCGCTCGCCTCTATTTCCTCCTGAATAAAATGAGTCACATGTCCCTTAGTCATTAGGTGACATTGTACAATGTACAAGGCCTGTATGGTGTGTATCAATTATTACACCTTTCTGACGAAAAAGGCCTGAAGGAGGCCGTGACGGACTAACGGATCTGGATGATCCAATCACCATAGCTAAGGACAAAATAAATGCCGCCGGCGCGGCAAACAAAAGTCAAAATCAGATTAAGGATACAACCGCTTTCACTGAGGAAGCCGTGGACCTTTACTTCGTACTTCGCTCACTCTAGTGAGCTTCCGTCCTGCCCTTTAGGCTTAGATTGCCAACCCCGCGACGGCCCAAGCTGAGGTGTGAGTTTCGGAGGAGACGCCCTTGCGCTAGGCGCTGGAAAACGCCCATTACAGCCGAGCGGCACTCGCCAAAACAATCTCATTAAAAAAAAATATTTTCTCGAAAATGTCAATTTCGACAGTTTTGCTATGTTAAATAAATTGGATAAGAGATTTTGAAATCTTTCCAATAGTGAAAAAAGTTTGAACCAATCAAGTGATTTAATAGTTATTTAGTAAGTGTATTTTTAAATAGTATAAGTTTAATTTAGTCGAATAATTAAAATGGTAAATACGTACATTTGCAGTAAACAAACTATTTTTAAAAGGATCGAAAGAACCCGGTTTCAGGAATCTGTTCCTGAAATTGTCGAAGTCCTTGATCAGTATATTTATTGCTATTTCTGGGGAATTTATTATCAGAGCTGGTTTCCAGAATAACCATATTCCTACGTATGGTTTCTTAAACTGTTTATATGCATCAATCATCCATAGGGCTTGGAAATAATATATAAGTATCTTCAAAAACTTCTAAAATTGTTGATTATGCGCATCAATAATTTTAAACTTAGTTACATTAACATATACTTTATAATATAAAATATATTAAACTATAATATTTCCTATTATCTGTCTTCCTCAAAGTTATTCCATGTTTTGTAGTACTAATAGAAATTTTAAGTAGAATCTATTCATACCTCTAATTATAAATGGTGTTAATAACAAAAAAGGCTATTGTTATATCATGTTCTCGGTTCAACTTAGACAAGATATTTAGACTAATTACCGTTAAAATACGGGATTTATATAATGTAATTGACTTAGGTATAGAAAGCAAGACAAAATTTACTCACCGGATTCTTTTGCTGCAAGAAGGTAAGACTACCCACGAGGGGATGAGGTGGCAAGTGAGGCACCCCACGCCTTGCCCAATACTCTCTAACATTTCTCCAACGAAGGTATATCCATGATATTAAGGATATTATAACACCCCACACGATAATTCCAAACATAATGTACAAATAATATGTGATTTATGTTACATCTGAAATTTTCAAAACTCTTTAATTCTATCGATTAAATAAAAAGGATTCAAAACTAAATCTTCCAACATTCTATTTGCCAAGTGTAAGCCTTGCCAAAGATATAGTAAAGTTGTCTTGCAAAAACAGTGTAAACCACGAATACGTCACCGACAATTATGCAAGTAGCAAAATACTACTAATGAGCTAAATTAATGTCAGATAAATCCAATCGAAATTTATTCATATACGTAGCATAGGTTAGTGGAATCATTTTCCGCACTTAGACTCATAATTGGGCCGTTTTACGTAATTCATATACTCATATACGTAGCAACACAATGTACAATTATTATGAACATCAGTAGAAAAAAATTAAATGCTCATAAATTTTCATTTACCGGCAGTTCAAAGGGCGCAGCAAACCGAACGAGGTTCGATCGTTTCGTTTCGAATGACCTTTCCGACAATGTTTAAATCGTCAAGTTTTTTTTGTAACAAAATCTTTTTAAGGAGCCGCAACCATCAAGCTCTTCATCACATCTTACATAAACTTAAAATTATAATAATTAAATAAGAAAAACGAACGATTCATCTTTATAGTATCTATATGTAGTTACGGACATTGGCGTATTTGTTACTAAATATTCGAAGAAATTAGATTGAATTAAAAGTTGAATTTAATTTAAATAAACACAATTTTATGTAGTCCTTAATTACTTACACCAAGATGTTGACTCTAGAATAACAAATTTAATAGATGTAATTTAAATTTTAGAATGTGTACACCTTTGGGTTATTATAAATTTAGGGTTTGCCTAAAGTTTCATTTACATATTTGTTTTGTGCGATCAAATAAGGAACAGCAAATAAATGTAGAAAAAATATATTTATTTAATGAAATTATTTAAAAGTTTTGCAAGGATAGGACAAAAATCCCCTTGGCGCATATCTTTATTTATTAAATGTAATTCAATGTAAATTTAGTTTTATTTCAAATATAACTAAATAACCCATTATAACGCTTGAAGGATGGTTGAAAAGTTAGTGTCTAATCTCTAAGCTGAAAATCAATATGTAGGTTTTGTCCTGGGGATAGAATAAGACCTTTTTTCTCAAATTCCATTTCTGAAGGTGTTAGTTCTCCAGGTACTGGATTCAGTTTATAATTCAAAGCTAAGCTCGATAGCGCGCTTCTTATTGTTATCTCGCCGAATCTTCTACCTGTAAAATTACGTTTTTATTAGCATATGTTACCTAGCTAATAGGCTAATCCTGCCAAAGAGGCAGGATTGCCTAAGTTTGAAAACGTTTAATCGCTACAGAAATATATGCTATAGGGGAAGGTCGGGACCCTTCGTACGGTTTTCACATTTTATTTTTTTATTATTTTATTTTTCCATGAATCAATCATCTGCAAGCTTAAATTTATAGTCTAACTATCTGTGATTCATATAAGAAAATGACAAATGATTTCATCTGATGGTTCAACCATAATTATGATTTAAACTAAATCTGGAAAACGTACGAATCTACCCCATCAACGGGGCACCTTCGTACAGTGTTGAGGGTACCTTCGTACGCTGTGGGGTAGTTCCGTACGTGCGATTAAAACGACACATATAAATCAAAATTCATTTATTAGCAATGAAATTAAACACAAAAATAAAGATTTAACTTCTAATAAACAAAAATAAAATACTTTAATTATAGTGAACAAAAATTACATAGCTTTTCTTAAGAAAACCAAAATTTAATTAGTTAGGTATCTTAAATTTAGAATCACATTCTTTAATCTTTGGTGCGGATTAGCACTTCTTATTTTCGGGTGTGGCAGTATAAATTCGTGGTTTTCCTGGCCGTCGTCATTTTGTTTGTTTTATTACTTCTTACAACATGCGTATAGAGTCGAAACCCTTAAGGTGTCAAAACTGACTTCGAAGGAACTACTATTTGATGGATTGGTAAATTATTCAAAGCATCTGGTTCACATGCATCAAAATCAACCTTAATAAAGATAATAAAAATAGGTAATAAAAATACATCGACGATAGCAATGATAGCAACACAGGACAAAGTTAATGGAAATATTAGAGCAATTAGCACACTAACACAATCTTTCCTACCTACCAGAGGGTTTAGTCAAGATGCCTTATTATTATTTGCATGTAGCAAGTCGAAAACTTAATTTGTATGAAAATTACAGTTCGTGTCGACAAAATATTTTCATACAAATTTAGTTGTACAATTCGTTCAAATGTGCCCCATCTAGTGCTGTCCGAAAGTACCCCACTAACTGAATAACAACAAAATATAACTTATTTTAATATTAATAGGAAAACGTCATAAATTAAGTATTGGAGACGTATCTAAGTATATTTTGCTAGTTACTGATAGAATACTCTACACGAAAACTTATTTTATCTACGGTAACAAGAGACAAAAACATTGATCAAAAAATTACTTACCGAGCGCGAAAACACGTCCATGCCTGTAACTTCATTCTCATCGGTGCGAATTTCGCGAAACTTCGATTATGTATAGTTCGTACCTCGACTCATGCACACATACAAAAACAAGACTGTACTTTGTTTCGTTCAAGTTTTATTTCGACTGTATGAATGTGCCCCGCGTACGAAGGGTAACAATCTTCCCCTATGTTGTTTGGTAAATAATATTATAGGGATTACAGTCGTTTGGCATTGGGAAGTTAACCGGAATATGAAACAGTGGCAAAAAATAATATCTATCTAATATATATGTAATATATATAATTTGTCAAGCCAGGACCAGACACCCAGCTATATCTTATGATTTTGTTAAACAGTTTCTGCGTCACAATTGTCTCTCTCCCTATAATATGGCGTGGGGACCGATGGCTGGCCATGCGTCATAATCGTGAACGGGTGCTACTTGTGGTGACTGGTCGTACTTGAATTCGTGTATGCGGTGATGTTAGTTGTTTCGACTATGTATTTGCGTGTTGTTCCCACGAGAATGTAAGTGCGTGCTCCTATTTCACCATGCCTCCTGCTGATAGAGGACAAATCTTTGTTTTTAATTTATTTTATTATTATTTATTACTTAAGATGGAACATGGTGTAGTGCAGCTTCTTACAAACGTTTTGTTAAAAAAAACTTGGCGATTAAAAAGAGTGGCGGAGAGTTTATCGCCAGTTCTTCTCTTCCGTTCTACGCCCTTGATTTGAGAACTGGCAGTAAATGTAAAATTAGAAGCATTTCATGTATATATTTTCTTTTTTTTGACATTCATAAGTGTACATTGTACACCTATATGAATAAATGATTTTGACTTTGACTAATGTTATTACTATGGGTACTCGACCCGTGGGAAAAGCGACGACCACCCCCCATTACATAGCATATCCAAAACACTACCGCCCTATCATCCAAAACAAGACAATTAAAACTAAACAATGCATTGAGAAAAATTTGAGAAAATAAGAGAAATGGATAAATATGAAGAAGGCTTTTACCTAATGTTATCTAAAAAATGTTGACTAACCAATTATTGTGAAATGTTAACTAACCAATTATTATGTGGATTCATTACCTAATAAACCTCTAATAATAATAATGTTATTATATGTTTTAGATTTATGGTAGATGATTTGAAGAGGAAATAGTTATTTTTCAAGTACCAATACAGCCTCGTGGTCCTTCTCCGAATGGCAAATAAGTTAATTGCTTTTTGTCTTTCTCGTTATCGAGCAGGAATCTATCAGGGTTAAATGTTTCAGGGTCAGGGTAGAAGTCGCTGTCATAGTGCATTCCCACCGCGTTTACGTAAATTGGAGTTCCCGCGGGAATTGTTAGTTTATCATCTATTTTATAATCCTTCGCGGCCACTCTGTCCAGCCAGCCCTGGGGAGGGTACTTGCGGAGTGTTTCTGTAACATATTTCTTATTCTTAGGTACAGATTCATATTTTTTTTTAAATAATAGTAAGTAAGCTTGCCAACTAATCAAATGTCGCTTTCATTGATTCTGGGAAAATTTAATTAGATACGTTTTTACATTATTAAACTTATTTTTTAAAACTTTGACGACATACCTTTAATAATGCAATTTAAATACTTCAAGTCATGTAATGTGCCAATATCCAAATCTTGAGATTTATTTGCCTCATTTAGTTCACGATACAACTTTTCCTAGATTAAAATAAAAAATTGCATTAGTTCTTGACTTTTGGACCTTATTTTTCTTCTATTTATTTAATAAGAATAGCTATATATTATTATAAAAAAATAAATTGTTTATAACTTCTCAATATATGGTTAGGTATTGCTATTGTAAAATCAAGCAACCTGAGGTGCTACAACCCTTGATCTTAACCTTAGATTTTTATTATTGAAAGACAAGCAGGTGATCAGCCTTTTGTGCCTGACACACGCCATCGAGTTTGAGGTCTTTCCATACAAGCGAGTCTTAAATGCGGGTAGACTGAAGAGTCCATTGGTGCACAGCTGGGGTTCGAACCCACGACCTCAGGTATAACAGTCGTACGAGCTCTAGGGCTACACTGCTCAATTATTATTGTGGGCTACAGCTTTTATTATTTTTTATAATACCTGGACATCCGGATGATACGCTAGTTCATACAATGCAAAGCTTAATGTGGAACCAGAAGTTTCAAATCCTCCAAAGATAAAAGAAATGGCTTGAGCCAAAACGACGTCATCTGAATATTCTGAAAAAAATTGAATTCTTTATTTGCATTTGTTAAAGGTTTGGTCAAACAGCGGGCGGGGTGGGACGGCGACGGGGCACCGACGTGAGCAGTTGTAATGTACTAATTAATATAGGACATGTCACACAGAGCCGTCGACGGTGCCCGGTGCGACGCCAACTGTCGCGTCCCGTCGCCGCCCCGCCCGACGGTAATACAACAAAAGTACGGCGGGACGGGGCGCGAACGAGGCGTGAGCGCGACGCAACTCGTTGTGTTATATGGGTATTCGTTGAAGTAGTCAAACAGAAAGCGGGACGCGACGCGTCGCGCCCGGCGTGATTAGTGATTACAGCCTTATATTCGTCTACAAAAATGGACATGGAAAAAGTTGAAAACTCATCGAGTGTTTAAATAATCAAAATAAATAAATCAATAATAATAATATATCTAATGTGATTACCCCCAGAAATCCCCTGCCTGATGCCTTCAAATAGAAAAAAATAATAATTCACTTTGTTCTTTGACAGCTCAAACGAACATACAATTAGTAACGTTAACCACACGGATCCTATTCTTACGATGTGTTCGTACTTCAATTTAGTTCCAAAATCAGGAACGTGATATACAATAGCAAAAAAACTGTATTTGGCGTGTTTTTTAAATTTCCCCTAAAAAAACCCCAAATCTTTCCCCCTATTCTGCTCCTATCTCGGTTGAGAAACCTCTAAATCTAGGGGGAAATCCCCTGATCTGGCAACACTGAAATCACGCCGAGTGTGGCGGGTCGGCCGACGAGACGCTTGCAGGATCATCACGTCCGCAGTGTGACATCCACGCCGCGTCGCCGCGCCGCCAGGGTCGCGTCGCCGTCCCGCTCCGTCCGCTGTATGACCAGACCATTAACCTTTTGCTTATAAAGGCATAAAATGATCAGTGACATAGATATCATACATTAAGACGTTTTTCAAGGTTTACATCCACCGCTCTACGTGATAGCATAGTAACTAAAATGTATTTGTTTTTTATTATTTTAGTACTCTACTCCCCTGCCATTGTGTCCAGGGAGTTTTTCTTCTCTTAAAATCTATTGGGACACCTGAATTGAAAACGTATAATCTCAGGTTTAAAAATAGCATGCATACAAGGCCGAAGTTACACATTATTTATAAACTCTACTAATGTTCTACCTTCCTCCTTTCCCAGCCCATCCTTAAGCATAATTAGTGCATCCAGTAAGTCTTTCGCTTCGTTAAAATCGGTTTTCTCTTTCAATCTCTGTTTGGTGACAGTTTGTAATATTTTGTTGAAAAATTTAGTTGACACAGCGGGAAATAATTGAAATCTGTTGATAAAACGGAACTTAAATTAATGCTTTCTATTTAAAATAGAGAGATGAATTGGTGCGTGAAATTAAATGTCTAATTATATCTAAAAATTTACTGAGCTGTCTAACCCCGAAAGGTTATCAATATTTACATTTTACACCGTCATTTGTTTCGTTGTAGGCATAGACATAATTATAACATTTATTACAAACAAAAACAAATACACATAAACACACAAAATAACAATAATCAAAGAGAAAAAAAATGAGAGGATATCAAAAACAATAAAAAAAAATACAAAAATTCCCTTTTCCCATTTGGTTCGTTTCAAGTGTGTAATGCGTGTGTGCTGTGGCTGTAATTGGCCCTGGCTCAGCATTATGCTGCGGAGCAGAATGTTCCACAGCGCTGGTCATTATGCCAGAGTCCACAGCAGCTAGTTTGCGCCTCAGTCGCAAAAAAAGAAAGAAAAGGAATGTAATAAATACTTGTAGAAAAAAATAAATAATAAAAGTTACCAGTGTACGTAATGAAGTCTTGTGTATAGTAAAATTAATAAAAATTAAAAGTTAAAAATAAGAATAATTGTAAAGAAGTAGAATTTTTTTTTTTGGGCGGATTAAAAACTAGATTTCGTGGGATTTTTGTTGAGTTAATAGATGAATATTATAGCTGCGACTAAAATAAGACTTTAAGCAGATGATAATGTTAGAAAAATATATAAATAGAAACAACCTAAGTTACGAGACAATTCCGAATATGCCTTATGAGTGCCCTTAACAGTGACATTACTAAGATGAGCCTCTTGCCTGTGATCTTCTACACAAAATAATAGAGGGAACCTTTCATTCACTGTTCATTTTCAATTTTATAAGGGCAACAAGGTGAACAAACTCTATTATCAAAACAAAAAAATGTCAATTAAAACTAAAACTATATAGGTATAAGTCCCGCACGTTGATATTGCGACTGGCGGTCATCTTAGTGACGTAGACGAACTGTTAGTCTCAGTACCGTGCGCAATGTCAGCCAGCGCTTACGCGTATTAAGTATATCTACCACGTGTTTTTTATTGCTTTTTATTTTCGTTATCCTGTTTTACTTTTGTTGTTTATTTTTGTTATCATACTAATCCTATTAAAATGATCAAGAAAGTAATTAACAGCCGTGCTCGTGAAACATTCAGGCAAATAAATGAATATTATTATTATTAACTTTTTTGTTGTCTGTACTTTTCTGCGGTGGATGATGTCACGCAGCTGTTATTGTGACAAGGTTCCATCGCAATGTCAACGTGCGGGGCTTATATCACCTTAGGGTTTACTGTGAAATCGACTACTTACCTAAAAAAATTAGCTAGTTTTGGATAAAAAAATATTGTGCTCCAACTAATGCCTCTGTACCAATTAAAAGCCATAAATTCTTTTGTGACTGTCCGAACTGGATCTTCTCCAGAGAGAGTCGCCGTGGTTTGAATCCCTAACGAAGCAGTGGCAATGATATCTGTGCTGAAGTCTGTACATAACATCTGAAGTAAAAAACTGCAATTCAGTATAGTTGTTGCTAAATTTGTTGTGTAGGATGAAGTTTCCACACTTTTCCGCACTTATTAATAGATACATAAAAAAAATTTATAGAACAGGGAGCAAACAGGCAGCAGGCTCACCTGATGTTAAATGATACCGCCGCCAATGGACACTCTCAATGCCAGAGGGCTCGCGAGTGCGTTGCCAAAAAAAATAATATATAAAAATATTTGTTGATACTGTCTATAGTGTACATGGAATAGAAACTAGAATTTGCCATACAGTATATTTATAGACAACATAAATTGTGGGATCAATAATGGTATATTTCAATTTCGTCGCAGTATAATTATGTTGGAGAAATGTCACAGAGCTCGTAAAATAACAACGTCCAAGTTTTATCAGGATTTATTTTTCGCCCATGGCGCAGGCTATAGTCAAACTCAAACTCAAAATATCTTTATTCAAGTAGGTAACCAAGTACACTTTTGAAAAAAATGAGTTAAATTAATCGTAAATTTACATTTACTACCAGTTCGCAAGTCAAGGGCGTAGAGCGGGTAAGAAGAACTGGCAAGAAACTTTCCGCCACTCTTTTTAATCGCCAAGTATTGTCATACAAATTGTTTGAACTGGAGCAATTCAATCCCAAGGATTAGGATCATTTAAGTAGTCCTCAAATTTATAAAAAGCTTTGTTGATTAATTTTCGTTTAACGAGGGCTTTGAATTTATTTAGTGATAATTCTCTAATTTCGCTTGGGAGCTTGTTGTAAAAACGAATACAATTTCCATATAAGGAGTGGTTTATCTTTTGGAGCCTGGTTGGTCGTACACTCAAATTAGTTCTATTTCGCGTATTATACTGGTGAAAGTCACCATTTGTTTTAAAATCGTTTATATTTTTTTGGACATACAACAAGGCTTCAAGAATATATTGACCAGATAGTGTCATAATATTTAATTCCTTAAACTTATTCCGTACCGACTCCCTCGGAGAAACACAACAAATACCCCGAACAGCCCGCTTCTGCAGCACAAATATGGATTGAACCTCTGCAGCAGCACCCCACAGTAAAATGCCGTACGACATAACGCTATGAAAGTAGCTATGGTACACAATTTTAGCCGTGTCCTCATCAGTAAACTGTCGGATTTTCTTTACTGCATATGCTGCAGAGCTCAGCCTATTCGAAAGAGTCTCTATGTGTGGGCCCCATTGGAGTTTACTATCTATTGTTATGCCTAGAAAAACAGTTTTGTCAACAAAGTTTAGTTCACTGTCCTTAATTTTCAGGTTACCAATATCTCGCTTTACGCTAGTAGTTGTAAATCTAATACATTTTGTTTTATTCTCATTAAGCAATAAGTTATTTACATTAAACCAGTTAACTATACGAGAGATAGAATTGTTTACATCGTCCAATAATACGTTATTCCTATTCACTTTAAATAGAAGTGAAGTGTCATCAGCAAACAATACCATCTCATGAACTTCGTTGACAAAGAATGGGAGGTCATTTATGTAAATCAGAAATAAGAAAGGCCCGAGAATCGATCCTTGGGGACGCCCATTGATACCTGCGAACCCGGAGAGGTGACTCCATTGACATGAACTCTTTGGATCCTTCCCTTTAAATATGAATTCATCAGGCTGGAAGCTTTGCCATCAACGCCATAGTGTTGAAGCTTTCCAACGAGTATATCAGGATGAACACAGTCAAAGGCCTTTGACAGGTCACAAAAGACGCCGACTCCATCATATGATTCTTCCCAGGCGTTAAATATGTCCGAAATCAACTTCACACCGGCATCGATTGTGGAGCGACCCTTAGTGAAACCATACTGTTTATTATGTAAGAGTTTATTTTTATTAAAATGTAAAGAAAGCTGGTCTAGCATTATCTTTTCAAAAACTTTGCTCAACGCAGGGAGCACGGAAACAGGTCTGAAGTTTGACGGATCAGACTCACTACCGGCCTTGAACAACGGTGTAATCTTACTTAATTTCATTTCGTCCGGAAAGACTCCACAATCGATACATCTGTTAAAAATTATAGACAATTCAGAGCTTATTACATTAATAACGGAATTTAAAATGACTGTTGACATACCCCATATATCTTTACTTTTTTTTAAATTAATAAGCTTAAAAGTTTTAACGATATCATTACAAGTTATATGTTTAAACTGAAATTTAATATTACATTCAGGTACACATTTTTCTAGCAATGAGATCGCAGCAGCAGGTGAAGAATCTAGGGACTTGGTCGTATTTAGTGGTACATTTGTAAAGAACTCTTCAAAAGAAGAAGCTACCTCTGGGTCAGATTTTATTAACTTCCCTTTAACTTTTAACATATAATCAGTTCGTTTGTCAGACGTTTTACCTGATTCTTCATTTATTATTTTCCAGGTAGCTTTTACTTTATCCATGCTATTTTTTATTTTTGAACTTAAATATTGAGACTTTGCAGTTTTGCAATCTTTTTTGAAATTATTTGAATACAACCTAACATATTCCCTAAATTCCACACTAGTGTTATATTGCATTTCGTCATAGATTTCATATAATTTTAACCTTTTCCTGTGTAACTCCTCATTTGCCCAGTCACAGAAACTTGTTTTCTCAGAGACCAATAAAGTCTTTTGAGTAAATACTTTCTTGAATTCATCAATAAATGATCCAAAAAAAAGTATTGTATAAATTATTAGGGGATGAGTTGCCACACAGAAATGGCATTCTATAGACCAATGCTTCTCTAAATCTGTCCAAACGGTCATTTGTAATAGGAGTTATCACAATTTTCTTCTTTTTACATGTTTTTTGTTTCCTTAATTGGAATTCAAACCATTGACCAGTGTGATCAGATTTAAATCTATTGAAAATACAAACATTCAAAGGGGCTATGTCACTATATATATTATCTATACAAGTTGCGGTGCTAGCTGTTATTCTTGTGGGTGAATGAAATTGATTTATTAAATTGTATGAACGAAAAAGACTAAGTATGCGTACACTTGAATTAGAATGACAAAGTAAATTGACATTAAAGTCCCCACACACAATTAGCCCTTTATTACACTTTACTAATTTACATAATATCTCCTCTAATACATTTTCAACATTATTATAGACAGCTGATGGAGGACAATATAGACATACAACAATGAATTGCTCCAGTTCCACACAGGAGATTTCAATAGTTAGTTCTACAGAGAGGCTGATAATATCCTTTCTTTCTTTGCATTTAAGTTTTTTACTTATTAGGATTAATGAGCCACCATGAATTGCATTTTCTCTGCAAAACACACTACCAACCCTGTGGTTACAAAAATTAAACAAAACTTCATATTTTTTTAACCAGTGCTCTGTTATGCACAAAAAGTCTATTTTTTGACTATTCAAGAATAGTTCAATTTCTAATTCTTTTTAAAAGTCTTTCGACCATACCGCCTAGTCCAAGTTTTATCAGTTCAAAACCGTTCATACTAATGGTTTATTTGATTTGTCAATGTTGCTAGATCTAAAAATTCTCAGACTTTGATAGTCTGTAGTATTCGTAATTTTAACATAGACAACATTTATTACTAACAAAACACACAAAATAACAATAATCAAAAAAATATGAAAAATAATGAAAGATTATTATCATTATTCATAGTCATTTTTATTTATGTCGGAGCAAAAGCGTTAGCTAATTTGACTTTGTTGTTATTTAATTAAAATGATAATGACAGCTGACAATAACTTCACTAACATTAGCAAATCGAATTAACCACTATTAACGGTATTAAATGACAAGAATTTGACGTTTTTAATTTACAAGCTTTGTGATATGGTAATGTGACAACAATGGTAGTTGATACCAGCGCCATCGCTCCGAGAAGTACATGAAACTGTTTTTGCGTTCTTAATTCAAATATTACTATCAAATTTTTGCAGAATAAAAATATTCACACTACACAAATGTGTAGTGCGGTAAAACTTTTATTAACTTCTTTTCATTACATAACTTACCCTTAAGTTAATTTTGCTTTTCTCCTTTGTATTATTGATTCGTTGATTTAATTCCTTGATTTTACTGTCAAAGAGAGCCTGCATCGATTTCAACTTTGCGGAAGTAAATACTGAAGTCAGATTACGACGAATCGACGACCAGAGCGGATCCTATTATATTAGGGAAGATGAAACCAGTCTTTAGATGTAAAATAATTATTACCATTTTGTTGAATATAATAATGATTAGTCCTCTAAATAATATAATGAATTTAAAGTAGTGGATTTGTTTTGTTTTGTAATAAAAGGGTTGTATTCTTTAATACTGATCAATTATACATATTTGATACCCATTATTTCAGTCCCACCGTACGTTGGAATCTCGGGTGTGCATATTTGTTTTTATTATATAATCAAAAGTTGTTTGCACAGTAAGGGTAAACATAGTACGAAAAGAGGCATTTATTAGACTCAAAAAAGGTTGTACGCGTTAAATTATCTTACTTTAGCTGTAAATATCATCTCCCTAGCCGGATCGTTGGAGCTCAACCTCAGAAATCTGTCCCGGAAATACGCGAAGTCTTTGACGAGTACATTTTTTGCGACTTCCGGTGAATTTATGATTACCGCTGGTTTCCAGAACAACCATATACCTACGTATGGAGTGTTGAACTGTTTGTACATATCAATCATCCATAAAGCCTGAAAGTAATGTATAATTTATTTTTTGCTAAGAAATTCTTAATTACTCGCATCTATGGAAAATTGATCGTTTAATTTGTTGTTAGTTTTAACTGCTGATGTGGTATGAATGATTTTTTTTATTTTGCATTATATTTTGGGTAGCCAAAAATAAAGAAATTTGAAAGCTTTCCATCATGGTATTTTTCTCTGTCTTTAAAAGTAATTATCATTGTTTATAATTCAAAGGCGCTAATGTCAAGTAATAGTACATATATTTAAAATTCAAACATGTGCAAAAAAAGTGAAGAGTTACGTGAAGGTCGTAGCTAAGCCATACACTTTGTCTAGTTGATTTACACATTATAAAAATTCCTAAGATACACTGTATTAAAAGTGAATGTCTCAATTTGAATAACGCTCCGTGGGCATATTTAGCTTAGCGGAAGTACGAATATGGATTTAAATATGGTTCTCGTATACAAAATGTCAAAGTTTCTCGTCGATTTTGGTATTTTCTACATACAGTTGACCAAATAAGTTAAAGTGTACTTTTCTATACTGTACTTACAGGATTCTTCTGCTGCAAGAAGGTAAGACTACCCATGAGGGGATGAGGTGGCAAGTGAGGCACACCACGCCTTGCCCAATACTCTCTCACATTTCTCCAACGAAGATACACCCATGATATTAAGCATACCATAAAAACACTTAAAATTACTATAAACATGTTATATTTTAACAAAATTCTAAAAGACTGAACGTTTTTTATTTTTAAGAATTTAATTTGAAACCAGTTTCAACAAACCTGTTGTATTTGGCTGCTGATGTCAATTAATGCAATAACAAGTTTAAGATTGCAGGATGTTATTGTTAGTATCAGAAATAAACTTAAATTGTTCTCAGTATCAGTCAATTAGGTCATATACTGACCTGATTAAAAAAGATATTATTAATTTTAACCTTACTTGTGTATCTTTGATCGAATACATGTTTGTGTTTTGTACCCACTGTTATGTAAGTTACGGAATACCATCATACCTGCTGATGCTAAGATTTTTTTCTGTTACTCATGTTTTTTAGAATAGAGGGCAAAAGGACAGGAGCCTCTCCTGATGTTAAGTGATACCGCCCATGATAGCTCACACTGCCAGAAGGCACAGTACGTTAGCGGCCTTTTAATAATTGGAACGCTCTATTTAGACACTAAGTCAAACGAGTTCGGAAATAATTTTGTGGGTAGCGGGTTCCACTTAGTAGTGAGCAGGAAAAACTGCTTAAAAAAATACATTAAAAAAACGCTTGGTTGTAGGACATCGAGGTGACACGGGTGGAATTTCATATTCTTTCTTTCCACAATCTTTTGTCTCTTCGTTAAATAAAAAACTCAGCTACAGATATTAATTCGAACAAGTTCTGTGAAAACTGAAGAAGATGCCGAAAGACCCCACATCTTTGCGGATCAAGCCGCTCGGAAAAAGACCCAGAAAGAAGAATTGTCTACGTTTTTAATCGCTCTTCGTTGAATACGACGAAGTGAAAGAATCTGGTACTGGGGTTTCTAATGAAACAAACCACTTGAGGTTTATCACATTGTTAAAGGGTATGGTTGTACTATTATGTAAGAAATGTTATTACGCCGTTACATAGTATCTGAATGATAGATTTTAATTTCTTTATATAAGTTAAGTTTATTAATAATGTTAAGTACATACTCTTTTGTCGCAACGTGAATCCTAAGCAAGCATAAAAAATAACTAATGTATCTACTAATTATAAGATTAAAAATGTATAAGAATAGAATTAAGTATAATAAAGCATGACCTCTCCCAACATTACTGTGCCTAACAAAGGTCACTTCACTTTATTTATAATGGCGACATCTGTGTAAATCACAATTCCGCCAATGTCACGTTCTAAGTCTTCACACGGTGAGGATAGATTTGATAATTTTATTTTGATAGATTGAATTTAATCTAAGCAGAGTTACCCAAAACAAAAATGACGTCACAATAAAGACAACACACACACAGACATCTAATATTATATACAAGAGGTTAACATTTTACTAGGGGAGAATCTTATTTATAACTTTAATTTATTAACAGAAATAAATTTCCCTAAAATTTTGACGATCGGGCTGGATGGGAGGGAAAGTAGGGAGTTAAGGTTACATGGACGAGGGAAAACAAAGGTCAATTGTAACAAAATTATAACATGTCACCTGTAAAGTATGAACATAAGGAATGCAGTGAAGATTTGACTGTGACTTTGATTTAGTCCGTGCCACATATAGTACGAGATGTGCGACGCATTTAAGCCATTGCGCATGCGTCGAATGTTAGTGTTCTCAAACTGAATAGATGCGGCATTTTTATTCCAACATAAAAACCACGCTGTTTTGGAGTTCGTAATAAACGATGATTTATATATACATTGTTGTTTTGCATCTAAAAATTATTAAATAAATTAAAACAAAAAAATTGTTTTTTAGCAAATAAACGATTAGCGCAGTAATTCTGCAGCCGGATCTTCTTCTTCTTCCTATCCGGTGCACTCTTGACAGAGCGGTCGTGATCGCTATGAAGTAGAGGTGTTAGAAGGGGCAGATGTGATGCGCTTTACGACGTTTCGCCATCGTTGCCTATTAGAGGTCATCCTGCTGCACTGGTTGAGTGAGTCTCCTACGGCAGACTTGATTTGGTCAGTCCAACGCGTAGGTGACCTTCCGCGCGGTCTAGTGCCTTCCACCTTCCCCTGGACGACAAGGCGTTCTATGGACTGATCACCACGCCGAGATACGTGTCCGAAGAATGTAAGGATGCGAGATTGTACTGTTGAAAACAGACGCTGCTTAATACCGAGTTCTTGAAGGATCGAGACGTTTGTACAAAACTCGGTCCACGAAACCCCAAGCATTCTCCTCCAGCAGCACATTTCCAGAGCGTCTATTTTCTGCTTTTGCACATCTCGCAAGGTCCACGTTTCAGCTGCGTACAGAAATATGGGGAATATAAGTGTCTTCACGAGCCTGGTCTTCGTGGCTTTTGTTATATTCCTGTTTCTCCATATTTTTTGCATCTTGTCCATCGCCGTTATTGTGATGCCCATACGTCGTTTGACCTCATCGATGCATCCGCCATTGCTTGAAATCTGAGCCCCAAGATAAAAAAATGATTCTATTCATTCGTTGCGTCACGATGCTTAATCATAGTCTCAGGTCAAAATCGGAGGTATATCATATTATCAGTGTCTTAGTAAACCAATTATATTATTAACGACTCCTTACTTTACTTGTCCTGATATAACAGAAGGAAGCACTAATTATTTATTTATTGCATCTTTTCTTTGTCACCTTGCATCTTTCGTACCGTGTCTAACAAAATACCATATTTATTGTCTGTTTACATCTATACTTTTAAAAAACATAAATAAAAGACGGATACAAAGTAAAATTATGTATTTAATTTAAACTATACGAATAAATACTGACGATTATGTTATTAAAATGAATGATATTTGTTTATCAACACATAAGTTTTTATGGACTTGTTACTAATAATACATGAGACTGCAGTTTTCGTTATGTCATGGATAATATATTAAAAATATAAGAGAAAACCCTTATGAAGGAAAACGTTCTTCTCTTTTCTTCGTTTAATCTATCGTCGTATGAAGTCAAGGTAGAGATGGTGTGATGGGACGTAAAATAGACCAAGTTTGTCAATGTCAATTTCAGAGGGTGTAGGCTGGCCGGGTAAAGGTCGGAACTCGTAGTTCAAAACCAGTTTTGCAAGAGCACTCCGCAGGGATATCTGGGCGAATCTTTTTCCTAAAATAAAAAGTAGGATATGAGTCACGTAACCAATTTGCTTGGGCTGGAGTATCAGCGTCTATTCTGGTGAACAAAAAATACTAGCATGTCTTAGACATAAAGTAAGTATATGTAAAAAAAAAAAAATCAGTGGCGCTACAACCTCTTTAGGGTTTGGCCTCAGATTTCTGAATCTGTTTCATGATCATTTTTAAATCAAATAGGCAGGTAGGTGATCAGGCTCCAGTGCCTGTCGCCGTCTAAGACATGTCGGTTTCCTCACGATGTTTTCCTTCACCGTTCAAGCAAATGTTAAATGCGCACATAGAAAGAAAGTCCATTGGTGCACAGCCGGACCTCAGGTATGAGAGTCGCTCGCTGAAGCCTCTAGGCCAACCCTGCTCGTATATATGCCTGTGTAGCAGATCATTTACAACAAAATAATTTAATATTGAACCGCCTGGTAAACTGTCCATAAATCCTGACCTAATCTGAACTGCCCACTTCATATAAAATAGATAATATTCAGTTTCATTTAAACATAGATTAGAAAAACAAAAGTGATCAAAACATTTACCAATACAATTTCTGGGCCCTTCTCCAAATGGCAGATATGTGAATTGCATTGACTCTTTCTCGTTTTCCGGCAAAAACCTATCCGGGTCAAATTTTTCCGGCTCGGGGTAGAACTCTTCATAATATTGCATTCCAATAGCATTAACATACAAAGGTGTGCCCGCGGGTATGGTTAATTTGTCATCAATTTTATAGTCGACCAACGCCACTCTGTCCATCCAACCCATTGGTGAATACTTTCTTAGAGCCTCTGAAAAGAAAATTAATATTTACTAAATAAAATCGGTGATATTATCATATGTAATACCACAAGAGCTTCAAAATTAACGGGTATTTCCCGATAGGTTCGTTGCAAACAATTAATATAGTCGACTTATAGTCGTCATGACGACTATATTTGTTTGCAACGAACCTTGAGGGAAATACCAGATAATTTTGAAGCTCGCGTGGTATTCGGGGGATTATTTTTCCGACCCAAATGTCGGCCAATAGAATTGCACCATGAGACGAAATGTACAGTTAACAAATAAGAATTTCATAATGAATAAAACAACTACTTAATACTTTTCTTGAAGCAACGACCAGAGAAAATTTTCACAAAAATTTTCAGTATAATACCATGTAGGTTGTACAGTGACGTCGAATGGTGAATTTATTGGCCGATATTTGGGTCGGAAAAATAATCACTTATATAAACAAATGTTGATTGTATATAAAATACGGAAATCGAAATTGATATGAATTGAAAGATTATTATCGGACGAAGTAGCTAGGAAAATAAAAAGTAATGAACTTAAATTAAAAATAATATTTGCTACTGTGCTTGACTAGATAATAATTCAAGTATATAGTGAAGGGATTTTGTCATACGAAATCTTTGTTATCTCTTGGCGTCATCAGAATTACGTAATTATTAATTAAATCATTTTCTTCATCAAGAATTTTTTTCGATTCATTTTTGGTGTGTTACTGATAAAGTATACGACGCTTAAGCCACTAGGCTGTACTGTACTGTACTGTACTACATATATATAGACAATTATTACTACCTTTAATAACGCAGTTCAGGTATTGCAAATCAGCAAGGGTGTTGATATCCAAGCTATTGTTTGCACACTTATCTTTTGCTTCCACTAATTCTGCGTATAACTTTTCCTAAAAAAATTATATTGATTAGTTTTGATCGAATAATATAATAAATAAAATTAAGTTCATTCTTGACGTCTTTGGGATACACGCATAATTTTTAAATTCGGATATTAATACATAAGTCACAAACAAAATAAAGATACAAGATTAAAAAGCAATACAAAAAACTTAGAAGGAAAATGTTGAATGTAAAAATAAATAGTAAATGTTATGATCGCAGATCTCGGTCGCATAATCCTTTTCTCGTTATCAGCGCTCAGCAGAAACTAGTTATATATCATATAATTTAGAAATATAGAAATTGAAAACAAATATCTTTCACGATCAAGAAGTATTGACTGCCAACTAATTGTTTGTTTGTCCTATTTCATTTTAATTTTGTTAAATAAAAAACCGAAGGACATAAATTATTAGGGATGCAACGGGAGGCCTTATTGCTAACAAGCGATCTCTTCCAGGCAATCCTAGTAAGGAAAAAACTAAAAGGTAAAGTACAAGAAGTTCATAACCAAATCAACAAAAATAAAATTACAAGTGACACTGAAAATTACCATTACCAAGCTTAATCTAAAATAATAATAAAATAAACAAAAATCTAATAGTTAGTGCTCATTTAAAAGCATTTAAGTTTATTTATTACTTAAGCTGAAAGTAATGTGAAAGTTAGTCCCTAAGAGTCTAAAGCCTGTATTTCTGGATAAAATGCTAGTTCGTAAAGTGCAAACGCCAGGGAGGAACCGGAAGTTTCGTAGCCAGCGAAAAGGAATGCTACAGCCTGGGCAACAATCGTATCGTCCGATAATTCTGAAAAAAAAATAGGTGTAAAAATATAGTATTTAATTGGTAAATGAACGAAAAATTGTATGTAATGTTCAAAATAGTAGACCAAGTTAATTGACAGTTCTCTTTAGAACTCTCTACTACGTTGTAAATAAAATAAATTTAAAGTTTTAAAAGGAGCTTTCGTTTTGAAGCAATTAGGTTATTGTAATTACGTATTTTGGCATGACCCTGAGGTTCCAAAAACTGACACAGCGCACGCATATCACAACTCTCAAATTCATACGCACATACACTCATACATTCACGCATTCTTTATGTCTTATACGACTTGTTTTTTATTAGTTGTAACAATAAGACTACTCTTTCTTAAAAACCTATTTTGAAGATAATATATCGAATATTTATCACCACAAGGGCCGGTACGATAGATGAATTTCGTCACAACCATATTTCTGTCTTAAATACAGTTTTTATTCATATTATTAATTATAAATAAAAAAAACAATTTCATATTTTTGTTTTTAAAGGAAGAAGTGTCTTGATAAGAAACATATATAAATAAAATATTAGCAAAAGTTTCAAGTTACCTTCATTAAGTCCTCCAACATTTTCTTTTAAGCTAATTAGTGCATCAAGGAGATCCTTGGGAGCACTTCCAGGTACGTTTTGCTGCTGTCTCTGTTTGGAAACTGTAAGGTAGATCCTCTTGAAGAAATCCGTAGATTTTTTGGGAAACATTTTAAACCTGTAATCAATCCATTATTAGACAATTAGGCTTGGAAAGTCTCGTTTAGCCCAATACGGTGTCTTTTCAGATTTGAAGGAAATGGAGGAAGATAAGCAAATAATCAGAGGACTTAGAAAATATATAGAAACATGTCAGCCTCAACCAACTCAGAAATGTACTAAAATATCTTGATTACAATCAATCTATCTTACAACAGGCTATCTATGGGACTATTTGTTGAAAATCTCAACCATTTGACACCTCGATCAAATATTATTAAACATTATTATGCTAATAAATAAAAAAGTCTAGGTAAATTAGATACAGATAAAGATTTATAAACAAGCCTCTATGTGACGCAATTCCGAACAATAGTGACTTGAATCTTTATTTTTTTTGCAATAGTTATATTTTATGTTGCCTCTGACGGTATTACTATGACAATTTATTGACACACGATGAATGTTTACTTGAAAGGAATATACCTGAAAAACTCAGCGACTTCAGGAAAGAAGAATATTGCGCTCCAACTGATGCCTCTCAGGAGGTCAAAGTCCATAAAAGATTTTGTGATGGTTCTGATTGGGTCTTCTCCTGTTAATGTTGCATTGGTTTTTACCCCAAAGGAAGCTGTTCCTACAACATCTGTTGTGTAATCCGTACACATCATCTGGAAAGTCGATATAATTGTAAATAGAACATCGTGATATCGTGGACATCTTTTATGTATGATACATTTAACACGTGATTTGAGCACGGATGAAAATTTAAAAGTTAGTTAGTAAGCTAGTTCGGTTCAAAGATACTTTATTTCTCAAAGAATTACATTCACTTAGCTAGAAAATTTATAGTAAGTTAGTTATGTACATCGTGTTATGAAATTATTTGAAAATAAACTATATCAAATAAAAATATTAGAACTTACTAGCTAGTTCAGCTTAGTAAGTTCATCATTACTGTTAAGTTGTAAACAATTGCTTTTGTATTTAAATTTTGTGTCAGTAGATTTTATCGCTACCTTTTTCAACATTTTAGCCTCTAATCAGATGTGGTAATCTTAGAGTAGTAGCCTAGTGGTTTGAGCGTGATCTTCTCAATACGAAGGTTGTGTACTCTATCTACTGATGGACTTTTCTATGGACTTTTTTATGAGCGCACCGGTTCGTACGGTTAAGGAAAACATTATGAGAAAACCGTATAATTATATTACTTAGAGGCCATTAATATTATTGTTAACATTATGCTACTAGAATTCCGTTAAAAGCAATAAATATGTACGTGGCATACTTAAGTTGTTTATTATATTATATTGTAGTAAGAAATACTACAATATTTGTTAACGTTTCGGCGGCCATAACACGAACAATACGATACATTTTGTATAGGAAATTTATAATATGGAGCACTTTATAAATTTGTGGGCGTATTTGTAATGAAGGAAAGAGTATAGTTTGAATATTCTACTAATTGTAGGAAACTATAGAAATTTTATGGATAGTTGAGTTGAGTTCTGCTGCAAGGCCCGAATGGCCCGCCCATCTGATTAGGGATAAGAAGGATATTCTGTTAGCACTTGACTCTGAGGGTTTCATTATTTTTTGTTATTTTTGGTCCCTTTTTGTCAATTAGTTTTTAGTTTTAGTTATTATTACTTTTATGTTATTATTTTTCATTTTGTGGTTGCTTGTTTAATTTTTTCCCTTGCTAGCTAGCTACCTTATTTTCTTATGTAATTTATGTGTATGTGTGTAAAATTTGTGATGAACACGTTATTTTAGAACTTATAAATAAATAATTTAATTTATGTTACATTATTAGTTGTATTATATGTAATATATTTGAGCATGCCGTCCGCACCTATTACCGAGATCACACTTTGATTCTATTTCGTGTTGTTTCTTTGGCACCATGAAAGAACAAAGAAAAAACAAAACATTGGGGGCTTTAAATAAATAAATAAATACTGAATTAATTTATAAATACGTCACAAACACCTGACACCCGTATCAATGCAAAGATGACTTTCATATTCCCATAACCCTGAACCTTTTGTCGCATAATAGTTTTGTATTTAATCCAGATATATTTATCTTTAATCAACGATAAGACTAATTAAGCATAATCATCATTATTTGGTGAAAAATTTTGCAAATCATTCAAAATTAAAACATACATGGCTACATAGTGATCGTGCTATGGGCGATGTACTACGCCGCCCCTTTAACTGACTCAACTTAATTAATTTAAAATTAAAAACTTAACTAACAAATATAGTAGTATATATGAATATAAGTAGTTAACTGTGACAATGTGAGGAAGGTCTCCCTCATGTCGGAGAAAGGTGTTCTCTGTGAATGGCCTAAGTATTAGCCAGCCAGTTTATTAAATGTATAAACGCTACGGCTGAATATCTTTCAGGCCGCTAGTTAAACGGCGCTGTTTAGTTAAGAGGCTAGGCTGTTAATTGAACTACTTAGTTGGCTGCGACATATATACTTTTGGCGCTGCGCTTGGTGCTTACCATATGTACTTAACATATTTATGAAAAAAACCTAGTCTTGCAGTTATCGTAAAAGTTGTAAGATGCGTTGTGAGTTGGTTTTTGTTCGCAAGTTCTGTTTTGGATGGCAAGTCATTCCATTTTGCCCTACTCTTTACCTTTCCGGTATCTTCTACTTCTTGATAAGCAATGGATTTTCTTATAATACCTATATTATATTCAATCGTCAAAGTAATAATAGCAATAGACTTGATGTGCTCCCAGACTATATATATTTACTATACAACTATACTTTTACTATTGCGTATATATTATAAATACTATACGAAGCGAATTTTTGGAGTCTGTCAAAATTAAATTTGAGTGGGGAATGTTGAGTAACTTTTAACAACTGTGTCCAGGTGTCTATTATTTTTTTAAGTTAGAAGGCAAGAAAGGTTTTCCGTGTGAAATTAAAGTGTAATAATAAATATATAAATTATACTGAGTGTATGTTTTCCTAAAACTGAAATGAGATTGTGTATTTAATTTCCGTCTTTATTATTTCCTCTAAATATTTAACTAATTAAACAAACATAAATCACGCAAACGTTCCTACAATTCTACAAGCTAATTGAAAGTTATTAAAAATCCGTTTCAACCGTACCTTTGAACGTACGGTTGAATCGAATGAAAAGAAACGAAGTTGTCGTACTGAACAGATGAACCTTAGTCGACCCTTTAAAAAATAACACGAATCCATTAATCTTACCCGAACACTAATTTTCGTTTTATCTTCAGTGTTGTCTATACGTTGGATGAGCTCACTGGTTTTGGTGTCAAAGAGGTGCTGCAAAGCCCGTAATTTGGATGCTGTGAAGATGCTCGTTAGACGACGTCGAATGGAAGACCATAATGGATCCTGCAGGTGTCAAAGTAATATTAAAACAGTAGATTGACTATTCCTGTAGCTTAGACATCTAATATATTATATTCTCGTGTTACAATGTTCGTTCTCATACTCCTCCGAAACGGCTTGATAGCAAAATGTTCCATGTTGGTGTGTACTAAAAAGGTAGGCTAAGTAAAATCACATTAAAGAGAAACGAAGTTCGGGGTGGCAGCTAGTATTATATATTTTTTATTATATTTATTGTAAATACAATTTAACTATAATTTTGTGAAGCGGCTGAAAAAGCTAAAGCATGCAAATACAGGGGTCTAGGCTCCGAATATGATTTTGTCCCATTCGGTGTCGAGACCCTTGGTCCTTGGGCGCTATAAGGCTTTTTAAGGAAATAGCAAAAAGGTTAGTCGACATCACAGGAGACCGAAGAGCTGGCAGCTACCTCGGATAAAGATTTAGTCTAGCTTTTCAAAGTGGAAACGCTGTCAGTACGTATCTTCGGAACCTTGCCTAAAGGGACTCCTTTAAATATTATATTTTAAGGTTAGTTATTGACTTTTGTTATTAATTAATTGATTCATTTAACTATATAAATATCAAAGCCGGTAGCGAATAACTCTATTGTGTATCCGGTACATTGGCCATGGATTGATTTCTGATTGATGCAGGTTAACTCGCAAATTGTACAATGGATTTTCAAAAAAAACTTACATCTGCTGTCAGTAAATTAAGCCCGATTGGATCTCCAGGTCCAGCAGCAACAAATCTGTTCCTAAAACTGCCGAAATCCTTGACGAGAACATTTCTTGCTATTTCCGGTGAATTGATGATAAGAGCTGGTCTCCAGAATAACCATATTCCAACGTACGGGGACTTGAAGTGTCGTATGGTTTCGATCAGCCATATGCCCTGAAAATGTGAATTTGTGAATCTATGTAATATGAACCCCTTGACCAGCTAGTATTTGGCCTGTAATAAAATTAATTATTACTAAAGTTATGTAACCTAATATTAGTTAAGTTACCTATATAAAATTTTGTTAAAATTAGAAGCGTAAACAAAACTTAAACAGTATCTCACACTTGAAGCCAATATGAGCCTTTACTTTTTACCACACTCATAAATTGTAATTTAACATTATCGTTTCCTATAATGTCCAATAACATAAGTGCCATTCACATTTACGAACTCTTCAATATATTAGTTAGTTTTTTGTTAATCCAGCGTCGCAACCCTACTTCTCCTAATGTTATTTTAGTTTTTTTTTTGTTTATGCCTTTTTAAAAAATTAAACATCTAGTTGTTACATTAGAACGCTTCGTTTAAACCAGTGTTTTATTTGGAGCGCGACATATTCATATAAAAAGCAGCATTTAATTTACTTTTATGTTGGTTGGGTAGAATCTAAAATGTGACGTTGGGTAGTTGGTTAGCCACTTTAGAATATCCAACGTTTTCTCGCCGTATACGTTGTTTGCCCTCGATGTGCAGAGCGTACTTGCGTTACCGCTCAGGTCTGTACGTCATGCCCCCTGTTATTATATGTCACCTCGAAAAAGATGCTCGACTAGACGTTATAAGCTCATCCCTTAAACAATTAGGAACTAGTTGTCACCTAGCTTTAAACAAAGTTCTTTTATTTGAACATATTCATACAACAAGCCTCCAAATAATGGGTCTAGGTTGGTGATTGGGTTAACACAACTTACGTCACAGATTGCTGTTTCCACTTTAAAAAAACATCGTTTTCGCAACACGCACAGTGCGACGTAACGTCACGTACTATTGACCGGAACAAACCAGTCGCTAGGAACATCCTTACCACTAAAGAACAAGTTGAATTCACTTATGGAGACCTCTTTTTTGTTTACAAATTTCTCAGAGGAATTACCTTAATATTGGGTATGGGGGTAAAAATGTACCCTTTAAGGCCAGTACCATTTATCGTTATTTCATCGTAGATTGATCCATGCCACCATAACTATGGACTGATTGCACTGAACTAAGACCCCAAACATCCTGTAACTAATAACATTTGAATTCACTATGGAGACCTTTTTTCGCGTTTACTTTCTCAGAGAAATTACCTTAAATAAATGAGGTTAAAAATGTATTAAGGAAATACCATAAAAGCTGGCACATATGCCCGGTGGAGTACGGAAAAAAACACTTTTAGTGGAGAAATATTTAAAAAATTAGTAAATTTTTTAGGAAGATCCAAAATTTAAAAAAAAAAATTTTATTTAATTGATTATGATAATAAAATTGTTTAAACGGGAAGCAATACTCGAATTCGTGTTATAATGTAATGTAAAAAATATGTAATTTGCTAATTAGAAATCGATAATTGAAACTGACAAGGCCTAGACTCGGTGAGTACCTAAAACCCTTAAAAAAAAAAGTCGTCCCCATTGTTAATACTTTACTGTTATGTGTATTATAAATGTAAAATTTATAAGCGTTGGCCTAGAGGTTTCTTCGTACGACTATCATCCCACGAGGGTTCGACTCTGAATCCAGGCTTTGTAGCAATGGACTTTCTCTTTTGTGAATGTCTAAAAGTCGACAATGTGTGTCAGACACAGAATTCTTATCACCTATTTGCCTAATTGATAAACATATGATCACAATACATATATAGAAATCTGAGGCCCAGACCTAAACCACTGGTTTTAATGAATTTATAAAAATACAGTATTGATATTTAATTTTACATTAGAAGCTAACGAAACTGAATGTAGTGTTTTGTTTTAAAGTTTGAAGATGTTGTGTTAAAATTCGCAAGAAATAAATATTTTGTCCAATTTAAAACGAAAAAATGCACATTTTATAATACGGCCGATATTCCATTTATGATTATCAAAAATATATAATATAAACCCACTATTAAATATATGACATTGAAAAGCTATAACGCTAATTCTACTTAATTATCGTTTCACCTTCATCAACACGCGCCTGCAAGCACATGTAACTATAGAAATACTACTTTAACTATGAAATAAAATCTGTAAAAGTAATTAAATAAATTCTAAATCAGTTCAGCACTTCAGCCCCAAAAATATTTCCCCAAAGAACCCCTAACGTCTATAGAATCCCAGCTACGTATTGAATTTTCTGTGTGTAACTATACACAAATAAATCTGAGACTAAAAAAAGTAATAAATAATAAAAGTATATAAATTAATGAATAGTCTTATTATTCGTGAAATAATACATTCGTAAACAAGGAAGTGAACAAATTATACAAAAAACGTGATGACAAATGATGTCAAGAAAAAAAAAAGTCAAATCATTTATGTCAATTAGACCACCTAAAATGGCACCTTTGAACGTCAAATAAAATATAAAGATGATTCTAGTTGACCCTTCCAAAAGGTAGTTTCGTGTGGAGAAGAATGGGCAAGAAACTCCACACTTACTCTTTTAAAATAGGTTTACAATATTTTGTTTACATTAGTTAAATAATTATATGTGAAGACAATGTACTCTTAGAATAAAACTACTATACTAAAAAAGTTAGTATACATGATGAGAACTATAAATGTAATGAACAACTGATTAAAAAAAATGTTTGTATTAAGATAAAGAATCTTAAAACAATTTAACAAATTATCAATTTAAAATCGTACTCACAGCTAGCAGCCTGTCCCAACTGAAGAAGCCACTAAAATGATATGTTTTATATCTATTCTCGTATAAATAATTAGTGGACCTTATCGCTTAAGGTGTAATACAATGATTTTCGTTTTTTTTATTAATAATTTAATACGTATCTATCAGGAAATTTATTGGCTAATATGACATCATTAAGTTTTTGTTTTAATTTGTATAGTTTATTTATTAAAGTAATTCATTAAAAATTAGATTTGTTTGTTAATTAATCTAGTTTTTTTTAAATCCTTAAATTCTGTTTATATGCAAAGAGGGCCTTTGAAGACATTAACAACTTTTGATGGCACATATGTGTCTTTTACACAACCAGAATTCTCTACACAAGCTATCACAAAAAATCATGTATGTCAAAGGTTTAAGCGAAGCTGTTAAACATTGAATCCGGCAATATTTGTTTTATATCGTCACAAGAAAAGCCAGACTAGGGTAAAATACTTTTGTTCAAGACTTAAAAAATTTTACTAGAGCATATTTGAAGAATTTATTAGACTGCACGATGTTCTGAAAAGATCAGTTGGCAAATACTAGAGTCATAGAATAGGACCACAAAAATGGGCATCTCTCTGGGGGGGGGGGCCTTTACCCAAACTGGTTCCTGCTAAATCAATATATTTTGATGAATTATAAATACAATTGAGGTGACCTACTAAGCAACAATTTTTTTGGTTACTTAAAAGCTTTGACTAACAATTAATTAAGGAAAAAATAGATTAAATTCTTAGAAGATATTATTATATATGTATATATTACTATTTTTATTTTTTAGTTAAGAACTTATAATTTGAAATCTGAGGTTTATATAGAGAAAAATCACAGAAACCAGAAAACCTAAAATGTTTTCATTCCGGAAAACCGAACAGTCTCTGGGGTAGTATAGCAAAATGTTACATATTGGTATGTACGAAAAAGGAGAAACGAAGTTCGCGAGGGCAGCTAGTAAAAATATATGTATAGGTAGGTATATATGTATGTACAAACAATATTTTATTTTATTTATCAGTGTATTGAGGTAGCCAATATATATCATATTATGTATGCTAAGAATATATTGATAAACTCATTTAGTATTCCTTAAAAATATTTCTTTATCTTTGTTATTAAGATAGTTGATTAAACTTTTTTATTTTATTTTAACGCCTCATACTTTTTAATAGCAATTGTGCTCTAGAAACATATTGATGTAATTTTTATATTAAACTAGCAGACCCGACAGACGTTGTCCTATACACACATATTAAATACAAAATTTCAAACTTATAAAACAAACAAAAGACATTTAATTGTAATTAATCTGAACTATGCTCGAATTCACTTAAACACTCATCAAAATCGGTCCACCCATTTATTGCATTACGGCTTTGTCGGGAACTATGCGATTGTCTTGGTATATCGGCACGATAAGCTAATAGCAACTCGAAATATCAACTTCAAAACTTGTAATAGTCAAATTTTTAATCATACTTAATCATAGATAACATGACGTTTAGCTGTCAATTGCGTTTTATTAGTCCGTGTTAGTTGCGTTGTTATACCATTTTTAAAAAATAGGGGTTGATCCTAGAGGTATGGGGAATTATATGTATGTATTTTTGTATGTTGTATCTTAAAAAAAATAAAACCAAAAAAAACTAAAAATTCAAAAAAAAACTTTGTTGGATAAAAACTAGTAACTGCTAATCACAATCGTCATGAAGACAATTAAAGTATGTTAACTTCCGAGAACTAAGAAGTGGGAACCTACTGATAATATACAATAATTTTAATTATTCACATCGAAATCTTAAGACTTTATAAGGGGCATGATTGACGATAACTTATAGAACTTATAAGTATTGCTTATAAAATGAATTAAAAGAAGACAGGGTCAGAGCTTTTGGGTTGGGATAGGAAGCGAATTTCATATTAGTACTGTCATTATGACACTATATTATTATTAGGGCATTATTCGTATAAAAGAAAATAAACAATAATTTGTTTACTATTAACACCCTCTTTAAAATTATAATTAGAATCTGATATTGCTCTTTTCTTCAAAATGTTTTCCATTTCCGTATGAACAATTATATATTGTACACATGGAAAATCTATGCACAGCCGGGTTCGAACGGGCAAAATCAACAGCCTCGTAGCCAAAACTTTACAAATCTTGTTTGAAAGATATGTATTTAATTCAAAATCTCTCCATCATCTATATTAATAAAAATCGGCAATCAGTAATCACATTTCCATGAAGCTTTTTCCATTCTCCCCTTTCCTCTGCAAAATCGGGTGGCTGTGGTCAGTTGCTACGTTACACTCGAGTGAGCAGGTTGTGTTGCTGCCTACTGTGCATTCCCGCGTTACCGCAATTTAATAATAATGGATACTATGTCATATTAAGGTAAATTTTCTATTGCAATAATAATTTCTTTATATAAAACAATAATTACTCAGAGTAATTGATTGATATATTAAGACGCAAATGTTTATGTTTCTGATAAGGGATGGAAAGCTCCTTCAAGGCTTAGAAATCGTATATTTTGGCACTCATACAATTATAGATTCTATCTTATCAAGTTATCGAATCATTCGAACTTAATGCAATATATTTTATATATTTTTACATTAAGTTCGAAATTCAAAATTACGAGAAATGGTTGTTATGGTTTCATCATACATTTTTGTGAACTACAAAGAAAAATGCAGATTGACTGACATATTTTTCATTATTATATATTTGACATAAGTTTTGTGAGAGTGGCATTATACTATAAAAAAATATATATAAAAACTTTTCCGCAGGTAAATTCTTATGTGAATTCATTATTATGTTGAACGAATGAATCTTAGATAAATAACGTTGAGGTGAGGCATCTGCCATTCTTCACTATGATGTTTATATTTCTGTCAATGTTTATCGGGCTAGCATTGACCTTCAGACTATTTATATTTTCAAAAATGCTTTTTCTTCTTTTTGAAACCACATGCACATATTTTAATCTTTTTTAAACAATTTAAATCTTATAATGTTAATTATTTAGTGATAGAATATTCCTAAATCGCAATACTTTTTGACTGACTAAACATACTGGCACTTTATGATTTTTGTCTAAGATTCTCACACTTAAATAAGATAAATTTGTCTCTAAATTCTAAGAACGA